AACGAAATTCACGGCATGGAGAAAACCCCGCCCACACGAGCTGCGCTCTAATTTTTGAGGCTTTTCGCAGGTTTTTTTTTGGTTTTGTTCAGTACTGGTAGCCAAACACCACAGCTATTTAATTCGTGCTCACCTATACAACCGTTGAATGTGCCTTCAAATCTCTACATAGTTGTGGTCTACCTAAAATATTGTTTACTTTCTGAACCTGAAAATTGCCTGCTTCTTTCTCCCATGGTGATCCATTTTACAGAGCGCCGCTGAAGCAGGACGTCTCAAGCGATCAGTTGCAAGCTGAACATGAACAAGTTCAAAATCTCGATAGAGCTCGAAAAGCATTGGAATCTCAAGTGAAGGTGATTTTCGTAATCTTGTTAAGCGCTATTCCTGCAAATGTCACACATCTTTACCACCTCCCTGCTGTCGGGTTGGCGAACTTTGCACATGATGGCAAAAACTGTTATCGCCAAATGAGTCTGGTGGACACCGATGCCATTTCGGGTACACCACAGTATGCACAGCTTCAGAAACTTCCTTCATTTTGAACTGTAACTGTTCTTATTCGATTAATAAGTGAACCCCGTGATATACAGATCCATGGGAAACCAGTTCGTGTCTATTTCAACACATTATTCAACTTGGGTGTAACGACTTTACATATTCGTTGATGTTTAGGATATGCAAGCACGTCTTGAGGAAGCCGAGGCGCAGTCAATGAAGGGTGGAAAGAAGGCTCTGGCCAAGCTAGATGCAAAGTACGAGATTTACAAATTTTTATGAAAGTTTTTTTCACTCATTGTCTTTATTGTAACCTCACAGTGGTTGTTTCGTAAAGTGATTGTAATAGAGCGAACAACATGATATGACAATATGCCTATGAGGGTCAGGGGAGAGGGAGGGGAGCGGGGCAAGGTAATCATAAGGGCTTTACACGCGCGTAGTCGTAACGTTGCGTACCGTGGGCACTATCTTTTTTTTTCTCAAGAACTTCTTGCGTTTTATCACTAAGGGCCGTCCCGAGAAGAATTACTCCTGGAATCTTGTCAGTTATCCTTTTCCTGGGGGTGGAATTCATCAGGGTCAACCATGAGCTTTGGGGAGAATACTTGAATTGGACAATCCCCTGCCCCCCCCCCCAACACTTCGGAGCGCTCCCAAAACGGCCCACTCCGTGACCAATAGTGCCAATAGTGTCGTTAAAACTGCCTTCCTCGTAGCGTACCAATAAACTGTTAAACGTGGACGTCTAAAACGGGGAGGAGAGGTACATACTATACTACATAAATGTGAAAATGGTGACTCGAAATTTCTCCAAACACCTTGTAGGAGCCTATCTTCCCGATCCCTTGCTTTCTACGCTTTTTTTTGGAAAATTCAATCCCCTTTCACACGACTCCCTCCTCTTGATGACAAAACGCGACCCACCTCTGTAGGAAAATTCTCGACGGATGGCCGATCCTCGTTGTAGCATGAAGGAATAAAGGATAGAACATTCCGCGACGACACTCCAGTTCCGTGACATCCCATGCATTTTACTTCTGACCATTACCGTAATGGTTCATGCTTGCGATTTGCGCTACACAACAATGTAGGGGCGCTAGCTAACATGCAAGGATGCCCTACTGGACGAGTTTAGTACTAACTGCTCAATATTGTGGCGTGCTAAATAGTTGCTCCAGTTCATGATAGGAGGTCGTCTTCGAGGAGACTTTCAATCTGAATTTCGAACTTTAAAGGACGAATTTACGATGGAAAAGCAACCCATTCCAAATTGAGGTAGAGATGGTGAGTAGTACCAGAAAGAAAGCGAAACCACGAAAAACGGCCCAGAACCGGAGAAATGGGACCCCTTCCTTGTCCGTTGATTTGAGCATTGATGGGACTCTCATCGCTTTGCCCTCTTCAACCCTACGCTCTCTCAGCTATCTAATCACTCGCCACCTATTGTACTACGGCGAGTGATCAGACGATCGGTGGGCGGAGATCGCCGAACTCGCCAACTTTGAGCCATGCTAGATCTCAGAGGTCAAATCTTTCGATGCCGATTGCGTGTCTGTCCGCACCCTCAAGAGATTCACCGCTCTCCCCACTAGGCGATTTCTCCCTTCTTCGACCTTCGTTCTTTCCGTGCAATCCTCCTTTAAAACTTTGGGCAGTATAAGCTTCACCTTGCCACGGCACACCTAAACACTTTATTCCACCCATGGGCGAAATATAGATATACACTTCATCATGCAGTGCTGTGAACTAGAAGTCAAGTTGAAGCGGAAACCGTCGACCGCCGAAGCCGTGAATCAACAGAAGCAAAAAGTACAAGACGTTGCAGAGAACTTCAGTTCCAGGTCAGAATGACGCTTTCGGCTGTTTTACGAACCTATTAATGGAGTTGTAGTAAATTTTATTCTTTTCATGTTTTGATTATGGCTGTTTCAGGTGGACGAAGATAAGAAGTCACAAGAGCGCATGTACGATCTCATTGAAAAACTACAACAGAAAATCAAGACCTATAAACGCCAAGTTGAAGACTGCTGTTAGTGAACCTATATCCTATCCTCCTTCCTCTTGCATACCTCGCTTCTCTCGAATATGCCTACCTTGATCTTGTAAGAAGAAACAGATGGTGTACTGCCTTCTTGCGTTTGTTTCATAATACAATGGCATGAGACCATGATTCATTGATAGTAATGATTTCAGGAAGGTTTGGCAGCGCAAAATCTGGCCAAGTATCGCCAACTTCAACATGCTCTTGAAGATGCCGAGGAACGAGCCGATGCAGCTGAAAACGCGCTAGCTAAAATGCGATTGAAGAACCGAAGCGGATCGTATAGGACTTGTCGCTTCGTAAGTTTATTCTCGAAATCTAAGGTGTCCGTTCGTTTCATTTTTCCGTTTTCGGAAGGTAATGCCGCTTGCATGTGAGCTGGAATCTTTCCACGAGTTTTATCCTCATAGCACAATGTAAAAGTCGGCTGTTGTACAATGCATATTTCAGTCGAAAAGAAAGAGAATAGCTTCCAGAAAATCGGGTTTCTTGAAGGTATTGAATACTAGGATCGGCGATCCTTGAGTTTCCGAGGTTTTTCAGTAGCAGTAGCCCAGCACGGCGGATCGGCGGCTAAAAAGAATCAGTTTGGAATAGCACAGTGGTGCAGGGAATGGTGACCGGGTGCACAAAGTTGTTTGGTCTGTGCGTTGATGTCATTGGAGAAACCTTTTTAGGAAATTGATCACTAGTTTTAACGTTCTTCCGCCTTTGGGAGAGTCGTACACAGAAATGTATCGTATTTCTTCTTCGCATCAATGCCTCATGTGTTATCACGTGCTGCAGTGTTGAAGATTCATACATGAAAACTACAAATTTCAATTTCCAAACGAATCAAATCTTCAAAAATCACACTCTGTGGACAGCTTGCAGACGGCCGGGTGGAGCCAGGGACGCGTATAGAGCGAAGTGCGAGGGGGCGGTGCTAGGTGACGCGTCACAGGAAGGAGTAGAATAACCTCCCAAATTCAGTGAGTACAAGCAAAACGATTATGCAGCAGGTGCAATGCAATAGATGAGTGAAATGTTATCATAATGGGTGAAAAGGCCAAAAAGTTTTTCAGTGGCGGTCACGCCATCTGCGTCCAACATTTGTTACAGTTTTGAGAAGTGCAAGTTTGAACAAGCAAAAGATTTCTTGGCTTTTCGATTTGTTCACCAGACAGAAGCAATTTTTCCTTCCTTTCGCTCTTCCCGTGCAGATAGGTTTCTTACCATCGATCCATGTGGGAGATAAAACCAGTTTCCATGCGCACTTAATATGACGGCTGCGATCATTTAGATGCCCCCCACCCCTTGACAATGCCAGCAGAAGCGCAAAATGAATGAAAAAGGAAGGGCAAAACGTTGTGAGCGCATATTTTCGGCGCTCTTTTTTTTACAAGGCAAAGGGGTAAGACGCTTCAACGTTGATGCATTCTTTTTCGCAGTAGTTTCGTCAAAATCGTGAGAAAAAACCGTCGAAACGACCCACCTGCTTCCACAACTACGTTCTCTTCAACGCGCCCCGTTCGCACTTTCGAGCAATTAGTTTACCTTTTTCAACCCAAACACGACCTTCCCCTTTGAAATGTAGTAGAAACCGATGGTCGACCCTGCTTTGGACACCGCTTAGGCTTTGCTGAACAAACCTCTACCGCTGCGTTTTAGTGAATCTTTTTGAGAGAACCTGTGGGCTAGTCAAGTCAAATCTACCCTCTATTTCGGAAGACGAGAAGAGCGTCGAGTACAGACCTACAAGTGACGACGGCTAAGAGAAAGTGGCTTTTCCTCTTGAGCGTCGTCACTTGTGGTGTGTGATCTGCACTCGACGCTCTCCTCTTCTTCCGAAATAGAGTATATGTTTCAAAGATTGCAATCCAATTCTTCAAATACAAACACCCACTGCGTACAATGCCAGCTCAAACTATGTGAAAGGGTTTTCACGGCTGTCCTTCACCTCATTCTTCAAAAGTCTAAAGGGGCGTAGTTTGCCACCAGTTTACGATTTTGTGAAATATTGGTAAGCATGACAATTCGTATCCTTTGTGGAGATTCCACGGCTACCAATTTCAGATGTCGAGCACGGCCGTGAATACACGAAGCAGCTCTCGAGGTCGCATCCTGGATGACGGAATTGAGGAGTGAGAAATCAAAAAGGAGAGAAATTTCTATTATTGTTAAGATTGAATATTTTGCTGATGTTTTCATATCATGACCGTCACATTTTTACGACTTACTTATACTCGTTACCTATAGAGTGCCGGCATTATCAAGTGCCTTATATCTCGCCTTACTATAGCGTTGAAACCTCTAAATATCGAATTATATTCTCGTACGATGTGAATTGAATCTTCAGATCATATAAGCGCATAATAAACTTTCATTCCTTCTGCCTCTGGTAGCTGATACAAAAGTAGCCAAAAGGCAAGGGAAGCAGAATCTCATATACAGTAAAAGAGAAGGGCGGGAAAGGAGGGGAGGGAAGGCATAAAAGCTGTTTTGCCCATGGCGCACTTCACAAGCGGCCCTGCCATTGAAGAGGGGTCTCTGTCAGAATAGATGCCCCTCGCTCGCCCCTCCCCCATGAGCAGAATCAAACTGCACTCCCTTCGCCGTCCTCAGTCTTCACACGACGCCATCTGCCAACAGCGTTTAACTCGAGGAGGCCTGTACCGTAATGGCTCCAGCGTGAAGCTACTAGATAGTTATTTTTTCAGCGATCAACTGACGTATGTTTCCTAAAAACAGTAGCACAGACTATGCAACAACTCTTCCGACCACCACTCCAGATAATGCCGTATCCACGGTATTATCTGGGATGTTGGTCAGAAGAGTGGTCCGGAATGGTGGTCGTGATGTTCCACGATCTGTCGACATCGGTAAGCTTGAACCGTACGCCAGGTTCTCGCGGGGATGTCGGTATAGATGGCTATTATGGAGTTTTTCGATGGGATTGCAAGCTTGATTGTTCAACTTACAGTTGAGAAATAGCCAGCTATTTAATGTTTTTATCCTCCTAGCAAGTCTGGTACCACTCAATTAAGATATTATAGGCCTGCTTGGCCTGGGCAAAATTTCTAGCTGTTTGATCTCCCGACCAGATTTCTGAAAGCAGCGGCATATTTCACTGCACCACTTTCGCGCTCACACGTTGTGTCAAGGAATGGTCACGGATTCGTTACAGACAGCTGCCTTTTTTTCGTGTGGTACTGCGAGATCCGGGTCCTTGTATGTGCTGGACGATCGCGAGCTTAGCGTTCATAGGAGGACATTCAAAACAGGGCATTCAATAACCACTGTTATGTAGGTGACACCAGGACTAAGCCCAGGAGAGAGGAGAAACGTCAGAACAGCAAAGGTTGCTTACGCCTCTCCCAGAATTTCTTCGCTTTCGTAAGGGTTAGTCTATGTCCTGTAAGTAGCTCAATCACTTCAATGTCCCCTTTACGACATTACGACACGACATTTTCCAACTTTCAAATGAAAAATCATGTGAAACACGTCAATATTAGAAAACTTGCTGATTGGACAAGTGAAATCAATCATATCATACTTGCTGCATTCACCTCTTATCAGCGTTTCAAAAATTGGCAGATATTTCATTTACCGAAAATATATGTGTGAGTAAGGTGGGTCAAATTTGCTATTTGCTTTTCCCACAATGTCGCGGGAAGTTTGTGTAAAAGGAGTGAAATACTCGGACAGGTGGGATACATTTCTAACATGCTCCGCAGCCAAGAATACCTTCACTATCAACGCAAACATTTAGTGCAGTATCGAAGAATTTTCCTGTACTTTGGAAGATAGGCCACGAGAACGGTGGAGGGACATTGACTTAGTTTGATTGTAGCTCGCACCTCTCGTCCTCTGGGCATACTGGGTCGATGCGTAACTTGTATTACTTCGTGAAAAGGGTTGAGGCTATTTTACGATGCGCAAATCAGGTACTGGGTGAGACACGAGGTGGATTCTCGGGAGATGAAGCAGCACGGTTCTGGAGCGATGAAGCCCGACGAATCATCAAGTCAAAAAAGAAGGCCTCCTAGTGCTGCCAGAGACCTCAAGCCCGCAAGAGCTCACTGCAACCAAAACGTGCAATAGTCTTATCAAGGCTGTCGTCGCCAGGGCTAATAACACGGGGACGGAAGGCTTGTACAAAAAACTGTTATTCTAGACAAAATAAGGCTCCGTCCAGCTTCTTAGGGCATGAGGTGGTGAAGAGTGTGAAGAGCAACGTTGGCACCAATCTGAGGAACTCAGTCTAGGTCAGGAGGAGATGGGAGGACTAACACTGAGCTTCAGAGGGCGGAGCCCCTCATATGAGCAACCTACACACCACCGAAAGAATGTCTTCAACAACAACCTGATTTGTCTGTTTTAAGTCGTATCTACGAATGGCTAGATGGTGGTAATACTCGTTCACTGAGGCACGTCCTAACTAAGGAGGTGGACATCACGTTTGTCCCGTTTATATTTCTCATATTTTCAGATCTAATAACTTCCCATTCCTCCAAAAAAAATCACCTGCAACCATTCGAACTCCTCTATTGCGAGGAACAATGAGAGGTCACTGAGCCAAACATCGTGTCCTGTATATCACACAACAGGGAAGTAACGCTTACCAGGACAAAACCAAAAGGTGCAAAAAACGGCAGGAAGTGCGGCTCAAACTGTAATGGCCTTTGGTTAAGCGTGGAGGAACAGCCAAAGTTCTTCTAAACTCTGGACAGAAGGTTTCAAATACCGATCCCATACACGTGGTTCGAACCTGGGTGGGTAAACAATGGTACGAGCCAAATTTTCGCACCCTATGTGCGAAGTGACCTCATTAAGGCTGATGACATAAGGGTCACAACACCACCCACACCTCTCTGTTAATCAGGTAAAACGCAATTAATTGAGGAAACAAATCGTTCATATAATAGTTGAAAAAAACCAAGACCCGACGCCCGCTCCTCTATTTTTAGTGCGACGGGGCCCGGAGGGGACACATCCCTATGTACCCCTATGTATGCAACAAGCCCCACAGGTCCGAGGGGATATATTCCCTCGGGGTCGGACCTCGGGATTTCGGTAATGAATCCCCATACGGAGCAAATCCTGTGCTCGCATCCAGTCCAAAAGTAGTTCCACCCGCACCGGAAGCTCCGTGATCCCCCATGGGGGCACGCGCTAAAGACATATCGAAAGGATGTCGAAAATTTCTAAACGGATCTCAATAACAGCAACGCTAGAATCACAAAAGAGAATCCGACAATAATATAAGAACTTGTCCGCATAATTCTCAAAAGCAATAAGGAATTTGCAAAAGGGCTGGGCTATAAGAGGCTTTTCAAATAAGTTTCTGCGCGCTTTTTCTTCCTGCGAAAAATGTAACTTCTGCGCATCAGTACGATAATAAAGAATTGATTCAGCTAAAGAAAAGTCTCATGTTATTGCCACAAATGCAAAAAGATGCAATAAACCTTTACTCTATTTCTCGGAAGAGATTCCAAAGGCTGAGAAAGAACTTCCCACAAATTAAGTCGTTGGCTTCTTCGGCAAATGATTCCCGTTCCCGGATCTCGAATCCCCTCGAATTTCGGCGCCAGGAACTGGTAGGCATGCTCTAACGAGAGAGATTACGCATACTAATACCCGGCAAAATAGCGTATTGATGTGCTGATTTATAAGTGAATGCAACGGAAGGTTTTTCTCGCTAGCAGCGCAAGCCCGTTCTCCTTTTCTTCGCGAAGAAAGCGCGCAATATGAACATAAATCAAAAGTGCCCCCGAAATACATAATCGCGTCAACGTAAGAAAATTATCAACTACATATGAGCGTTCCCACAAAGAACGAACGAGGCCCACCCCACTTCTCTCCCTCACAAAGCCTGAGTCCCTTGGCGGCGGACAACTCTTAGCAACTCTTTCCCCTAAACATGCATATGTCAGCTTGACTCACTTGGACATATAGCACCACAAATTTTCAACCCCTGCATTGAGAGATTCGGCTCTGGTCTGCGAAAAAAGAAACAAAAAAAGCTCCCGAACGTACAAAAAACTACACGTTATGGACCATCGAAGGACCAGGAGGCAGAGCCAGGCGAGGCATGGAAAGAAGACGGCGTTTGGCCGGCTACGTACCAGGCGACGCAATGAGAGAATCGGGTTAAAGCGCGCGATTTCGGAGAGTGGAGACAAATCGATCGATGGAATAGGATGGAGTAGAAGTGTAAGATGTGAATGCAACGAAGCAGAAGGCCAGAAAGAGCTTCTAGTGAATGCACTCCAAGAACCAAGTTTGAGCATCCCCGTCGCCAGCATTCGTGAAAGACGTCCGTGGGCAATTCGAACGCGTAGCAGCCTTTTCGAGTTTTCGAATTTCTAATCAAAACGAAAGCAATACTTCAGTTCTTTTCACTATTATCGTGGATAATGAGTCTCAAGCCAGTGATTTATGGCTGAAATAGAATCATGATTTTTCCGCGCAAGATTCCTTTAAAATATTTGCTCCCTATGGGATGTTCATACACCGAAATCCCGAGTCAACTCGACCGCGACGGAAGTCTAACTGACCAAAGCCGTCGGGGATGAGTCCCCTAATCGAGAGCAGGGGATTCATCTCCTCCGTTGTCTCCCCAAAGTCGTATGCAACAAGCCCCGAGGGGATATATCCCCTCAGTGCTGCGAGGCTTGTTGCATACGACTCAGGGGATATATCTCCTAAGACCTGTG